CGATAGTGTTATCACCATTTATTTTCCGATACATTGTGGACTCGGCTCGCGAACTACGGAAACGAATAAAAATAGTCGCATAATTGAATGGGTTGCGAGCTTAAACGCGTCGATTCAATTTTACAAAAGTCCCCTGTTTAGCATCAAGTATTTAAGAGAAAAGAAAAAAGAGCCGGAAAAAAGTCGCTTAATTCAATTGTAAGGAAAGAATGCAAACGGCTTTGGTTTCGCCAGAACTTTGTAACTCGATCGATCGAGGGCAAAGCGTGAAGTAAAATAATGCGTCATTTAGTGAATCTCCAACTCCAAGTCTGCCTGTTATATATAAAGTCGAGTAGCCAATAAGTTAATATTATTAGCTAGCAATGATTCTTTCCGATAGCGGTGAAACTTTTTTTGTCGCAATTCGTGCGTTAAATACTCGAGCTTTTATTCCTCGTGCTAAAAAAGCTCCGATAATCGTCAATCTTGAAATAGCTATTACTTGGAGCAGCTTTCTTAAAGCAGAGAGAAGAGACAAAGAAAAGAAGTTGGCCCCGGATGATGTCTGCGGTCTAAGTACGCGTCGTTACCGTAAACTCGCATTAAGAGTAGCCGGTCGCATAGCTCAATACAGCGTAGACTGTTGTTTTCGACAGTCTATACGGCTATCTAAAGCTCCAGCAGCATATCCTTTGAATTAAAAAGACTTTGTGCGCGTTTATACATGTATATAAAAAAAAGCTTTGGGAAAGTGCAACTCGTTAGCCTTTTTACTCGGTAGCCTTGCTAATAGGCTTGGCGTAGATGCTGCAGCAGTTGGTCGATCGGATGTTATCCGCGCATGCTGAACTAGTTGCACTAGCTTTGGAACGATCAGTGCCATTCGGATATACGTTAGCATAGGAGGCAGCAGCATCGCACGCCGTCATATTACCTTTCGGAGCGTTGAAGATTACGCGCATGTATATAGGATATGTTCGAAGCTTGAGCTTAGCTGGCTAAGCGTAAACTCCTGTAGCCTTGTATGACGGGGGGAAACAAGCAGCGCCTTCGCATATACATGTATATGTGCTGCCTGTTTATACAATCTCCTTGAGCATCTCTTCTCGTATATATGCTCTGCAGCCCTGGAGATGTATGCTATCAGCGAGCCTATCATATTACTCGGATATTAGTTCTGCCATGTAACTAGATTGTTTTTCGAACTGTTTGGCTTGCATCTTTCAAAGTGATAAGGAAGAAAGGAACCCCTACGGTGTGCCCTGTATATCGAGTTTTTCAGTTTGAATTAAATCGTGGACAAGTTCATTTCAAAAATTCATCTAGTCGATAATGGATCGCGCATAAAGCACAAAATATTAATGGCTCGATAAAATTGTTGGCTCGTCAAGTCGATGGAAAACGCTCGACAGAAAACTATTTTTTAAGACTCCACGGCTACTTCATTGCCACGAAAAATTGAAAATGCAAAGCATAGAGCATCTCGCATAAATTTGAAATTATCGTCGTCACGTACGCTCGTTGCTGCCGCCTCTGCTACTCGTCCAAGAGAAAATAAAAGCTTGATAGCACCCACACGACTGAACCTCCGACGACTGAAAGCGCTATCCCATATATTAATTTTTAAATTCTGCGTATAAAAAGCATAACCTATAACTTTTTCCTCTTCAGGCTGAACTTGGACGGAGCGAACTCGTATAATCTTGCAAGAACTCTATCGCTTTCTACCTCATCATCTCTTCCGTATAGCTGTCTCGCGTGTATAGATATATAGCATTTTTTTTCTCTCATCGCGCCCGTCGCTGTCGAGGCCTTCATTAAATGCACCGTGCATCCTCCTTCTCGTCTCATCCACACCATTCGCTTGTGAAACGAGAAATTCTTATGCGCTTCGAATATTATACGTGCCCTTATATAACGTTTCTCCCCCGTTGTCCCAGCCCCCTTTACTCATTGCTCGTACTTTAATTTATGCTGGATCTCGGTATTTTTTCTTTTTGCGCTCCTTCACGCACACTCGTGTCATCGATCTTTTTTCGGGCTTTATTGAAAGATTCGAGTGGCGCAGCGCGAAACCGCTTGAAATGCGACAATGCGACGATATAGATTTACCGGGGTACTTGATTTGCATGATAGATGGTTGCTGCTATAGCAGGCCTAATAGCTGCGCTAGATCCGCACCTATATACATCGATGACATGTATATGGATAGTATTCGAGGCAGAAATGCTTATATTAGCGGGAACTGTAGTGCCATTTTTATTCGTCATCATTTACATGGATTTTCGCTCGTAACTCTTCTTAAAAAAATCTGAACTTAACGAGTTGGCAAAGTTCCGATGAAAGCCTAATTGCTCGGATTTATCTGTACAACTTTTGACGAGAAAAGAAAAAAGAAAAGTAGTCGGCAAGACGCGCGAAGCCTGCAATTTTTTCAAAACTTGCGCTCGCGTTCTAATGCAGCGGTGATCAAACTGTAAGAAAATTATGCCCACGCACGCGCGAGACTATTGAAAAAAACTTTTAATGCAAATCTGACTTGACGGGCTCGGTGCAGGTTGAAATAAACTTATCCGTCTTCTTGGAACTATCGCGGCGCGGCTGTCTAGTGGCGGAAACTTTTGCGAGTCAATAAATACAGTTTATGTACGGCTCGTTGCGACAGGGTCGACGTAAAGCGAACAGAGCCGTCGAGAGAGCCATCAATCCATAATAATACTTTTTTTAGATTTTTCAAATTAATTTCAAACATTTTTAGGACTGACGTTATCGTCGTCGCTGCTGCTGCTGCTGGCGCTGCGACGAGAGAAACCGGCTCGCGAACGACTGCGAGCGAGCCATGAGAAAAAACGACTGAGCCATTCATACGAGCTGTGCATCGGGGGCAATTTCTGCACGTATATCGAAGCCAGTCGTTCGCGTGTTGGCTAACAGTTAGCTCGTGAGCTGGTTCGCTTGATGAAAGATTATCGCGTCGTTTCTTTTCAGCTGCACAAAGGGCTGGGGGTGGCAATAGCAAATCCCTCGATGTATTTATCATCGGCCTCGTAAAGAAGATACGTGGCTGCGAGCTGCGCTTGTGTATACGTATCTGCTACGTGTGGAACGCGCGGCGGCAGCCCTCTGCTGAGCGCTATCGCGCTATTCTTCACGTCGTTGATGTAATTACCTCGCGCGCAACCCAAGCTTCATTAGCTCGCGCTGCGGGTGCCGCTGACGCCACTATACGTACTGCGCGCTGCTACTTTATGGTTACCTTCTCTCCGTCAAATTAAGATCGGCTGCTGCCTCGAGCTACCGAGCTACACGAAGCTTTTTTTCTACCTGGCTCGCAAAAATCTTGCTCCGCATAATTTTCCCCTCGCTTGAATATTATGTACGTATTATTATACCTACACAATTTCCGGCGCGTGAAATTCTACCTTTTAAAGCGGAGTTAAATTATTAAAAAGGTATTACGCGTAATGTATTCAATAGAAAGAGGGAGCTAGAACTGCACTCGAAATTTTTTTCCTCTCGCTGCTAGATTACCATAGAGCAGAGCGAGCGAGAGTAGGCGCAAGGCAAAAAGCACAAAGCCAATTACCCATAATAGAAGAGGCCTTCGAGGAGGGGAGTCAACGGTCTGTAAGCGCGGCCACTGTCACTGACGCTTCTGAATGTGCGAGCGCGCGCGCGACGACAAAAAGCAACAACGGTGCCAGTGGCGCTAGTCGGAATGGAAGATTAGGGAAGGACGCTCGGCTAGCAACGTAGCGTAGCCAAGGCGATACCCAACGGACGCGTTAATTCAACGCTACGCTTTCGAGGTAAATACACTTTGCCCGACCCATCGCGTGGATCTGCGAGAGAGTTAGACCAGTGCTTGACTCACCATCGTGCACGTATAAATATGTGCTACATAATGTGTGTGTGCGCGCATTTGTCCGAGATAGAGAACCTTAATACCGGTATGACGCGCGACGGCCATGCGTATTTATGCAGCTTCTCTGATTTTCGCTGCGGTGGCCTGTAGGTCGCGCCCAACCTGTGCGTATATATATAGTAATCCCTCGTGCGATACAGCGCCAACTCGTTAACCTGCTACGTCCTCGACGCGTTGCCTACAGTATTATATGCGCTTCGAGCTTTCCTGATATGACTCGAGTGATATGTAATGGAGACGTGAGACATGTTTTGCCAACGCTGCTCGGTTCAAAGTTATATCTCATCTTGTCCCTGTTTTGTTCAAAATTTTAAAGCTTTCACGTCGTTTCAATTTTTAAACTTCGGCATTGTTAAGTCTATTTATATAAATGCGTTAATTAAATGAATACGTACCTTCAATCGATTTTAATTTTCATTGAGATCCTTTTAATCGACAATAGTATATTACATGCCTAGGCAGCGAAAAATTGGAAAGCCTCAGAGCACATGTTTATTAGCCTAGGCACGTAATGCATACTATCATGACGCCATTTCTTACTCGTGATTTGTTTAAAAATTGAATTCAACAGTTCTTAATTCTTAAAAAAAAAAATTTTTATTTTAAAAGCTTTATTGAATGTACTCGAGAGAACGATGATCCTTAAAATTATTTTGTTTGAAATGTAATGACGAAAGATTATTAGAGTAATGATGAAAAAAATGGATAAAATCTAAAAATCCTTTGATACCAGGAAAATAATAATATTTATCAAGCACTAGCTGAGCAAACTGGAAAGAATGAGCTTTAGAATTGTCTGACAAAGGAAACACATCTCGATGTTTTAATTAAAAGTAGCGATAGCTTAGAAGGCATCGACAAGATCTCTTCTCCGAGTCCGAACTTAACTACCAAATTAATTTACTCCTCCAAGGTCTCACGCTTCTCTCCGTGCACTTTCATCTCTCCTTTCTCTTTGGTCGTTCGTTTCTCGACACGGGACATGCAAATATACTTGCTTCTCTCGCTCTAGCTCGTTGTTATTAAGATCGAGTCACAGTGTCGTCTTTCGGTAGGATTAATTAATACTAAAGGCTTTCTTTCGTCGTTTCAGTCTGATTCATCGAGACACGAGACCCGAGCCAGCAATACGATGCTCCACACTCAAGGGCGCAACGAGACTGCCCAAGGCACCTGACCATCGTAGCGAAGCCAGGTTGAGGATAGATCCAAAGGTACTGGTCTTCGTGGAAACGCTCTACTCGAGATTGGGTAGGGAGATTGCAGAGCTGCTCGTCTACAATCGTATCAAGTGAGTATTACGATTTTTCTGCTTTTTTGTTTTATACTCAATCTCTTGTATAATTTGATAAGGAATGATTATCGGACTATAAAAACCGCCACCGCATGCTGTTACTGCATGAATTCTGACATTACATATGTAATATATTTCCATTGATTTTTTTGATCGTATACACGCGGGCTTGATTCGCATTTCAATCGAACTTACTCGCCTGGCATGTGTGATGTGACGTTCGACTTACTCCTTTCTCCCGGAGACAGCAATGCTTGGCTTGGAAATATTTTCGACATTTCCGCTTGCACTTGAAATTGCGTACTGAAATATTCCGAGCCTTCACACGATTGCTCTAACAAATACAGAGACTGTCAAGTTATCACTTGATTGTTCGCGTATTCACACGACATGTAAAGCCTATTTTCTTCCCCTTTGGTCTAAATTTATCAAATCTAATCGCGGTTCCATAACCTTGGTAAAACTTGTAAGCATGCCTCTCCATTTGTTAAGACGGTCTCTATGAATGCATATACAATAGGGTGGTTCGCTTTTGCAAAAATGTTCAAAATCGCGTATACGTCATGGCGATTCTGAAAGTTCAAGTCTTTACGAAAAGAAAGCCGGGTTCAGAACCTAAAAAAAGTGTCGGGAACATGTGTCGATCGATTTTTGAAGTTTAAAAACGTAGTCCAAAATAGGAGCAAAATCGGTCAACCATTCAATTTATTTCAAACTGTGATTCGAGAGTAAAAATAATATCGACAATACCTTTTCTTACGTATTTTTGTCTGCAGAATCGAATGCCGTAGTCAGTTTTGCTCTACGACTTCGTTTTTATCGATAAAAATGTACTTTTTTGATTTTTTTTTCGCTTAAAAATCCAAAAATCGACTTTGCAACGTTTAAAAATGAACAGAAAAAATCTTCGAACATTTTTGACACTACCAAAATTTAGGATTTTTTATGACGAATCCAACGGTATAAATTAGTATATACTTTAAAATTATTTTCATTCATAAAAATGCAAATTTTCGATTTTTTTTGGCTGAATTTGACGAAAAATCTCGAAAACGAGATGTTTTCGAAAAAAAATCGTTTTTTTCTAAAACGATGTTTTAGGACCAAAATCACAACGTCATTCAATTTTACAGCAAAAAATACAAAAAAAATGTTGCAGCGGGATTTTTTAAGAGCACTCTCTCTCAAAAAGGGCTCGTTTTCGAGATTTTTCGTCAAATTCAGCCAAAAAAAATCGAAAATTTGCATTTTTATGAATGAAAATAATTTTAAAGTATACACTAATTTATACGGTTGGATTCGTCATAAAAAATCCTAAATTTTGGTAGTGTCAAAAATGTTCGAAGATTTTTTCTGTTCATTTTTAAACGTTGCAAAGTCGATTTTTGGATTTTTAAGCGAAAAAAAAATCAAAAAAGTACATTTTTATCGATGAAAACGAAGTCGTAGAGAAAAACTGACTACGGCATTCGATTCTACAGACAAAAATACGTAAGAAAATGTATTGTCGATATCATTTTTACTCTCGAAACACAGTTTGAAATTGAATGGTTGACCGATTTTGCTCCTATTTTGGACCACGTTTTTAAACTTCAAAAATCGATCGACACCGGTTCCCGACACTTTTTTTAGGTTCTGAACCCGGCTTTCTTTTCGTAAAGACTTGAATTTCAGAATCGCCATGACGTATACGCGATTTTGAACATTTTTGCAAAAGCGAACCACCCTAATATACAATCAATCCCTACCTTTTTCTCATGATGAAATTGTGTATACATGTCGTGCGCATGGCAGCATCAAAATGACTCCTTCCTCTCTGTCGCTCTACGCACACGAAGCCTTTTTTAACGATAGCAAAAGCCGCGCATGCGATCGAAACACTAATTACGATTAGTTGCGCGTGATTTGTGTGTGCATAGGGAGAAAGAGAGAGAGAGAGAGAGAGAGAAAGAGACCATTATAACGTATCCTACTTGAATAATTTTCAAAATTAGTCTATGCTACTGGCGTCGCTAATCAAACTCTAATGACGTGCAACGTTATCACGGGCAATGTCTCTTTCATTTTTGATTTATTTTTAATTCTCTCGATGCTCAATAGCACCTATCTCGACAAAGTTTAATATAACGTGATCGTCAACTGGCGAACTGATATACGCTTTAACATACATTTATAATGCACAGCTACTGCAGCTTCTTCTGCTGCCAATGTGAGTGTGTGTTTAAAATAAGATATAGAAATTTATGAGTTAGCTGTGAAAGAGAAAATATATAAATGTTTTTTTAACTTAAGACACTAGCTTAAGTAGACTTTTACGCTCTTGAATAAACGATATTTGATAGTTTTGACGCAAACCTGACTCTTATTGTCCAACGTTAAGCAGAGAGATTTTACCAAACATACGCATACAACATTTGCAGGAGAAAAGAAACGTAACGATCAAGTCGAATCAATTTATTTTTGTACGTCGTCGCACTAGATTTCGATACGAAGTCGCGCGACAACGCTTAAAACTCGTTGCCGGATTAGGACGCAGCACGCGCCCCGCCTGGTAATTGAAAAAGAGCTTTCGAGCGTATTCCCATTTCGCAGGGCTATTATACTTTGCGCCCACATTATCGAGCGTCGAAATTTCGAGTTTATACGTGCCCGAATAACTTGCCGGCTCGGGAACTTGCAGTCGATCTACTCGATTTGGAGCTTTTGATGTGGTAGATAGTCTTCTTAGTAGTACGTAAGCTAGTATACGTATAGGAGGCCGACTACTATAACGGCTACGTGTTATACTTAGGAGGCTATACTGCGTCAGACTATTGTGATGGCTTGAGTGGCTTAACGGATTTGTATTGCAAAATCCAAAGAGGCCGGGCATTTTGATGTACATAATATATATAAAAGCTTAAACTCCACGCTAACTTTACACGGCGCGCTGGCGTTTTTGCAGTTTATCTCGGTTACGCGACAGAGATTATGTGCCACTGACATTATTATAGAAAACTTCGTTGATCAAACTTGGAGGATCCTCCGGTAAATTCTCGCTCGCCCGGAGTATCTCAAGTCATTTTTGTGAGTTCAGCATCCAAGCGAGCTGAAAGTAACTAATAAACTCGAAACTCGATTATTTCAGTCACGGAAGTGCGGCGCGCGCGAGCACTGCTAGAATATCGTTAATTAAAACGAAAAAGCTCGCATTTTTAGTTATTCTTCCCTTTTTATGAGCCACTTCTACGTTTAAGATGTGCAAACGTTTCTTATACTTCGTAAAAACAAACGCAGCACAGGATGATAATATGTGTTACTTATGCGTACGCATGTGTAGTTGCACAAACGAAGCTTGCGACGAGCATTCCATAACTTTCGTCCCTGTTTAGATGTTGCGCTTGTAGCAGTCACGCGACATTAACTTTGAAATGCTGCATATATTTAACGGTACGGCAGCAAAATCAGGATATGCATTATACTGTTCACGAAGATTACCAAGTGCCTAGAACTGCACCGACTTCAAACGCCATATCACCCGAGTCCTGACGCATTATATGTCACCAAATGCTCGACACGCCAAATGCTTACATATAATCAGTGCATTTCTAGCTGGAGAATATGTTCGAAATTGACACTTTGTACACTACTCTAAGTTTCATGAGATTTTAACGACGCGTTTGTACTGGCAAATTTTATTAATGCTCAAAGCAAATTCAAATGTCAAATATTTTTCCTTACGTATGGGAAAAAATTACTTTTAAACTTTTTTTAACCTCATCTCAATATGTTAGAAAATAAATAATACGAGACACTCGTGCAAATAATATTACTATTTAAACTAGAAACCAACATGGAAGGAAAATCAAAGAACGACACCTCAATCCTTCATCTCTCATTTCACTTAAAAAGCACGTTTTGTATGATGTACAAATACACAATGGCACAACAGCGACCAAGACTACAAAGCTTAAATAATTTAGCGCGATTAAAGCTTCAAGTTTTAAGTAGAATAAGTCACGCTGTGGTGAAACATAATAAACGAGTCAGCTTTTAATGATTCTCATAAATAGGAATTTTCATTCTAGCATACCGTCAAAAAGTTTTCTGACTTGGCTAAAATATATTTAATAGTTTTTGGATTCTGTGTGCACTACGCGCATAAGCAAAATTGGGCCCGCGGACCTGTAATTTTATTTTCCTACTAAAAACAACTTTATAATCGCTAAAGTTGTGAAATAATTTGCGAAAAGCAAGATACAATCTCGCAGCCACGAGAGTGGTTCAAAGTGAAAATTCCCCTTTTTCAATGATAAAAATATGCAAATACCTAAGAAAGAGAGCACAACGAGTTCCAGCGGAGTAACTCGCTCTTTCTGTATGCCAGAGAGCGTACACATAACTTTGTTTCAAACATGATTTCGTTCCGTGCAAAGAAGGAATATATTCAACTGATTAAATTATAAAAAAAATGAGATATTAAGTATTCCTTTGTGAATAAATTCATTAAAGTTGTCACATATTGAATGTAAAAGGGATTATATTTAGAATGATAACAATATATTGGCAGTATATTGCAAATGCTAATATATTGCCGCGTACATCGTTAATCGTTTGGATTGATTATTTTACGTTGATACAACTAATATGTAGAACTTTTTACGAGTCAAATAAAGTACTTGAAAAAAGGCTGCCACTCGACTTTTCCGGACTGATAATATAACGCTTTGTCCCACCTTATACAGCTGCTATATGACACGTGGATGTATAATACACATGTATCATGCATTTCATTAGAAAGGAGAAAATAGCGAGAATATATATACGTAGGGCATTATACCGCTGCGGTAGTCGATGCAAGCGAGGGAATAACAAACCTAATATATAACGCGCAGATCCGTTGAATATTTGGGCTGCGATAGAAACGCATGCGCCTCTGCATGGAGTATTTGTGCGCTCGTATACACACAGGGATGCAGAAATCGTGCGACGCGAATGCGTGAAACGGCAGGACTCGC